GTTTGAAGTAGTAGTTGTAAGTAAAATGTTTGGCTTCTTTTTCTTCGGGTGTGGCCTTTCTCAGTTCCACTCTCTGTTGAACATCAGCACATGATTTGAACTGCTAGACCTAAACAGTGTTCTGTAACCAGGCAGGCAGTTCTCTGGGAAAAAAAATACAATCCTCCACCCCATCCCGCTACTCCCAATCAAGAAGAGTCAGCAAAGATCTTCCTAGCATCTGGATTGTGTGAGTTGCTTTTATAGAGAAGGTTTTCAGTAATGTTGGGTTTGTTTGTTTTGTTTGTCTGGTTTGTTTTTCCCAGATGGGATATTCAGAGGATCAGGGAACAAAGAATTTTACAGCGACTGCAGCTCAGAATGTATAAAAAGAAAGGAATTCAGGAATCTGAGCCTGAGGTTACCTCATTTTTCCCTGAGCCAGATGATGGTAAGTTTTGTCTATCTAAAAGAGTAGATGTTTTTTTAAAGAAGAAATAAGGGCACAAGGCTCCAGGTTACAACTTGTTCTGAATGAATGAACAGTATGTTGGAGCAGGTATAGTTGACAGACCTTTCTCATCTACATCACTAACAAGGTTGCATTTGGCTTTCTTCCATAGTTGAAAGTTTGATGATTACTCCCTTCTTGCCTGTTGTAGCATTTGGACGACCATTACCAAAATTAACTCCACAGTAAGTATGAAGGGTTCTTCTTCACCTCCCTTTCAGACTGTATGAAAACCTGGATATAAGTGGAACGGGTAGGTTAGGGGTTAGCCATGGTTCTTTGACAGAAGTGAGACTACCTGGGCAACTAGCTTTTGCAATGATAAGATTCCCAAGCCCAGAAATAGGAGGATTTTTAAGTTGGAAATAGATTATTCAATCACTTTGAGGCAGGAAAGACATTCTAAAGTTGGGACTTTGGAGTCAGGGCTAGGAGTGGTGAGGGACATTGTGTTGTTTTTTTTTCAGTTATTCTCATGTCCACACTGACGCCCTCTAGTCTTAGACGTTGATTTCCTTATCCTTTTTGCCAGGAATTTTGAGCTGCCCTGGTTGGATGAGCGTAGCCGATGCAGGTTGGAGATCCAGAAGAAGCAAACACCTCACCGGACGTGTAGGAAATAACTGTGCTGGCAAGAACCTTCTGTCTTCAGATAGTTGTAGCGTGCCATTCCCAGAGAGTGGCAGAGACCTGTATATGTGACCTGTGTCCTCATGTATGTTATTCACTGATAATGCCCTTCCATACTCCCTTCATCTTGGTTTTGTTTTCATCATTCTGATTTCACAAAAACTCTTTCATTGGGCTAATTGTGAGTTATAGAAGGTGATTGGGATATCTTTTCCTCTTTTGGGGAAATGAGCTCTCAATCTAAATCTCTAGGGTGGCAGATTTGGAAGCTTGCAGGGTCTGCTTCTATACATTTGCCTATGTTAATGGGGTAAAAGGGCTCTTTCATTACACTTGTGGAAATAAAGCATCCCCTGCCGTTAGATCTGTGCTGCATGGCACTCTTCTTGCCCTAGTATACCCTTCCATGTAGTTTGAGTATAGTGGTTTTTACCCTAAAACAAAACAAAACAAAAAACCCAACACCATGAGCTTAAGGACCAGATGAGGAATTATTGAAGTGATGAAGCAAGTCATCTTCACAGGGTAGAAGTGTTTGGAGAGTTTGTGGATAAAAATCTGAAAAGACAGTTCTCTTAAAACTACTCTGTGATATAGCCATGTGGGAAAGGATGTTTGGCTGTGATTTTTTTTTTTTTTTTTTTGAGTTAATGGGTAACTGAATTTTTCCCCCCACCCCTCAAAAAATAAAATCTTTGGAAAACAGAATGGGGATGGTTACTTTTGGACAAGTTATGGCTCTAAACGAAAGCAGTTGACATTTGGGGATGGCATGCCAGAACCTGTATAGATGTCCTTGTGTCACATCACTTCTCAAGTATCCCTTTGTTGGGCTTTATCCTTTTAGCTGAGCTCTTGGTGGTGGGATAGAAATTTAGGGAGGGTGGGGGGGGTGGTGTATATGGAAATATGTGCTTCCTTTGGCTCGCAAATGTCTACATCTTTAAACAAACAGGTGTACCTAATGAGCTTCTCTATTCACTTTGTAAAAACTGATTTGTATGTGTACCATCTTGGTCCACCACCAACACCACACCCCTTTTGTTAAAAAATGTCAGCCCAGCACTCCAGGCCACTTTAGTCTCAGTGTAAGATCCCTGTAACTATCTGGAAGGAAAATAGAGCCAAGACCTCTGGTCTTCAATATATAGGAATTGCCTTTCTTTAGTCTTCAGGACTACCGTGTGAAAACAAGTAGGGGCTTAATCTCCTAGAAGATAGGGACTTTCATCCTTGAAGAGAGTATGTCCCCAGATTATTAGCACTTTTAGAGGAGAAGCCAAGGTATGTAGGGTGTGTGGCCGGCCCATCAGTGGAGCATGAGAGAATGGGATACCAATGTGGGAAGAAAAGTTAAGTTCCTCAGGGGCCTCCCACTGCTAGAGCTTTTTGTGAGATGTTAATCTGTGCTCCCTGGGTTTTACTTTTAAAATAATTATTCCGGCAGCACATGTAGTATTCTTGGATGATCTTGCTGCTCTTATTTCTCGTGTGTGTGTGTGTGTGTGTGTGTGTGTGTGTGGCTTTGGGTTTTCATTTGTAACTCCATCTGCTTAGGAGAGTGGGCTCTCCACAAGGGAACCTGCTATGAACTTCATTGCAAGAATGTAGAGAGAAATAGGACTTATTCCACTAGGGGCTCTCGTCTCACACCTTGAGAAGAGGAAGGGGCTTTCCAGAGAAACGGCCAGGTTTTCTTTGTTCTCCATCATTTTAACATGGCAAGCTGTTTGGTTTTCCGACTCTGACCTATGTTATGTTTCTTTATAATGTGCCCAAGAAGAAAAAAGACCAGTTAGTGTCTTTACTTTGTTCCTCGATTCCTTGCAGTTTCTTCTTGATTTTCAGCATTTTTATTGGATTCCTAATTTGGATATGAGTTAGCAAATTAATCTTTTGTTTGTGCCCTACCCAAGGGACTCCCCAGATTCTGAACTTGAGCTAGAGGAATCCATGAGGTGCTACCTGGCCAGACTTAAGTCGATTCTATTTCCTTGGTTCTCCCTCTACCTAGAACCTCTTATTTTATTGTCCCCTCTTTTAGATCAATTTTCCTTTGATTTGGATATATTGAGGTTTGTTGAGAAGGATTTTGGAGAGTAGATTAGCAAAGTTCCAAGAGTGAAATTACAGTGTGTTAAGAGTGTGGGGGGAAAATTCATCTTATTTTTTCCCTACATGGAGTACAACACTGTGAAATTCAGTCTTCAACTGAAGGCCCTGCAGTTCTCCTAAAACATAGATCTTTGTTTCTTTCTTTAACAAAGTTTAAACTAGTGTTAATAAATTAAAGAGAGAAACTGCTTGTCTGTCCACTTCAGCTTTGTTTTAAGCCCATTTCATATTGTTGTCTGTGTTGTAATTCATACTTTTGATACCATTTCTGATGTGTAAAATTGGTTGTCTTGTAAATATCTTATAAAGAGTTCAATTGTAAATAAACTATTGTGGCTGTTAATTTTTGAACTTCTGCTTCAATTTATTTTATTGGGAAGCATTAAACAATTCTGTTTGTAGATTTTATTTATTTTAATATATTTTATTGATTTCAGAGAGAAAGGGAGAGAGAAACATCAATGATGAGACTCATTGATCAGCTGCCTCCTGCATGCCCCCCACTGGGTATCTATCGCACAACCTGGGCCTGTGCCCTGACCGGGATGCAATCGAACATGCAATCGAACCGTGACCTCCTGGTTCATAGGTTGATGCTCAACCACTAAGCCACGCTGGCCGAGCTTTTTTTTTTTTAAACATTAAATCATACATCCTCCATTTTGAACTAGGGCAGTTGGTTTTTGGAACTGGATTTACAAGTTGTCACACTTGGCAACTTGTTTAAACAGTTGAGATCTGTTTGGACCCTGGTTCTATCTCTGAAGGCATTGAGAATGCCTTCTAGTTTCATATTGCCTGTAACTCTGATAAGCATCAGGATCCTTAATCATAACTTGTAAAGATATTACACATGACAGAATCCTGTGCCACAGTGACCTTTTCCCAGTATATGTATATTATTAAGGTGTATTCTTGTAGATGCACTAATAACTTAGCTCACATATCTTGTATGTCATTATGGTCCAAAGAAAATACAAGTGGGGAAAAAGGTTTACAGTTGTTTTTATGGAATACAATAATTAAATAATACAAGAATAAACTTGTGCGTACTCACAACTGTAAACCTACTTTTGCCCCACCTGGTATAGTGATTTTTTTTCAGTGCTGACAAACGCCTTGCCAAAATCAAAGCATTTCCCCATCTGGTTAACAAGGAAATCATGTCACTATATTGAACCAACGACGGTTCCCAATCGTCTTTTTAAAATCAGTTCTAAAATCTTGGTAAGACTAGCATCATGCCAGCCTGCACTTTGGGAAAAGTGATGGCTGGGGTGGAGAGACATGAATGAAGAGGAAATGACGCAGGGAAAGTGCAACAGGAAACCCCGGGCTTCACTGCAGACACCATGGTTTTTCCTTGGCCCTTTAGCCTAAAATGGGACGGTGTGGCAAACCTGATGATGCAGCACTACTTTAGAAGTTTACCTTGATTCGTGATTTTACCACACAAATGCAGTAAAGTGATTTGCTTCAAACGTAGGCAGAAACAAATAGGAAAAAACCCCCACCATAAGCAGCTCCAATGCCGCAGTGAAGCTGTGACAGGTCGACGCCTTCCACTCGGAAAGCCCAAGATGGCCGGGCGAGCAGCCTCAGGAGGCTCCCCAAATGCAGACGCCCCTCGCCCTGAGCCTACCCAAAGGAAGTCGGGCGACACACCACGCCCCCTGACGTCACCCATTACGTAATCCGCTCGCCCGCAAACGTGCCGCAGCGCGCGGGGCCCGCCCCCAGCGACCCGCTCCCGAAAAGCGGGCGGTCAGTGCCTCACGCGAAGCATGCTGGGACTAGCTTTCTAGCCTCCCGGCGGCCCCTGCGACGGGCGTACGTAAGAAACTGGCTGGCGGCGGCCGTTCTCCGTAAGATGGCTGATCGGCGGCGGCAGCGCGCTTCGCAGGACACAGAGGACGAAGAGTCTGGTGCTTCCGGCTCCGACAGCGG